TCTGGTCTCCAGGTCCCCCAGGGATATCAATAATGTCATGGCTTCCGCGGAGGAGGTTTGGAAATTTGTTTCTCGTCTTTTCAACGATCGTTTGCATCCTTATAACGATTGTGAACTACAATGTCCTGAAAGAACTGCCTACAGATTCAAAGCACTGGAGCAGAACGAATGTACAAGGTTTGTATAAAAGCGTGAAATCGATTCGTGTTTCGTTGATCACACGCTGTTTGTCTTGTAAGCCTATGCTCAACTCAAGCTGCCTTTAACAGCTACTGGAAGGCGGACTTAAATGTACTCATAATTCTTACTTTATCGCTGAACGCAAGCCCTGTGTAAATTGGGGTTAATAAAAGACATACTTCTTTTGCCGACAACGAAGCATTTAAACGCAGACCTTTCGCCTTTTCAAGATTTGTTATTTACTTAAACGTACCGCATGTAAAATTAATAACAACACTTTTCTTTGAACTTTGAGATCTCGGATTCTACTCGTGTTGTTATAAGCAGTCTGTTAGATCGTGGAATTGCTAGCAAATTAGTTAACTTTTAGACTAAGTGAATACAAATCTTTAAGAGAGTACTTTACAAAATCTCAATTATCTTCGTCGAAAACACCCAAGGTGTGTTTATTATTGAATCTTCATTAGAATGATTTTCTATTACTTTCGATCGAGCCCGTATTTTACAACTTTACGGTTCAAACTGCGGCAAACGCGTACTGTTTCTAGGCAAAATTCCACGTTTCATGGTAAATAATTGCAAGTAATATCATACATTTTGATTTACTTGCTTGCATGATGATTGAAAGACCTCAGAAAAAATGTGGTTGCACTTGTCTCCACGTGCTCTTGAAAACATAATTTACATCACAAAATTAAGGTTATAAAAAATATGCTTTCTACTGATGGTTAAGAAGCGATAAAATTTTTGTGCAAATTTTTTTTTGTTTGAACAAAAGTGGATGAGCAACCCAAGATATTAATACAACATGTAGTTAAGAAATTTAAAGCATTTCCTGGTTACAAAGGTTTAAAATATGATATTTAGCCCCCAGCTGTCTGTGTATGGTGCAAAAATTGCAAGTAGCACATTAGATGAAGTGGCTATTCAAAAAAGAGAGAAGTACATTTAAATAATAAAAATGTTAGAGGAAAAAATATCAGCTAAGGAGACCATTGTTTTAAACAATGTCAACACTGCATGAACTATAGGTAGCAGTTTACAGTTTCCTTTATCTTCTTTGCTGGTTTTTGTGGTAGTACAAGATATCAGTTCAAGTTCGCTGATTTAAAATGCACACAGTTGATTACTCACCAATGTTTAATAGACCATTTTACATTTCCAAAACTGTAACAGCTCATCAGCATGTAATATATTCCATTTGTTGTCACAGTGTAGCGGTGGTTATTGTTTTGGGGCTTAAGGGGCATAATGTTTCTGTAAGTTAATTTTGTTCTATTGTTCTCTCGAAGCTGAAAGGGTATCGAGTCATATGTGCAGCCTTGTGAGAACTGCTCTGACCCTTTATTGTCTTGGATCTATTTTCTGTTTTTTGAGTTTGAACGCATGTGCCAACATCTCCAATGTAGTTTCACTGAACAGTCAACACAAGGGATCTTTTTTAACATTGCTTGATTGTTAGGATTCAATTCTGTGGGAATTGGGCGGACTCTATACATTCTGTCATTGTGAAGTACATACATTAAGTAATCTTGTGGCTTCAATTAATAGAGGTATTTTACCCTGGGCTGGATACTTTCCAGGCTTTAATAGAGTAATTGTTATTGTTGTTGCTTTGTTACACCATTAAATAGACTACTGTATTAGGCCATAGGATGTTTGGAAATTGTTTATTTTTTATTAACTATGAGTTCTTATTTAACTCAATCAAATTGGAAAATGCCATGAGGCGGCTGTCAGTTTGTTAACAACTGCACACTACTAGGCTACTCAGTCTCTACTTAACAGTTAAACCTGTAGCTCATGAGGCGAAGTTGAATGGGCTATTGACCCGTGGCCCTTGAGGGCGAAGTGTCTAATTGTTTTAGCATCACCCAGCTAGTCAACAGAAAAGGCAATAATAAAGTTAGCAAATGCAAGTTGAAGAAATATTTATTTGGGAATAAAACGAAGGA